CCTATGCATAGATAGTTTGTTTAAAGTAAAACTTTCTAAGTTTCTGTGTAATTTACTATTGTTTTGTTTCTCCAAGGTATATTTTTTTTACGTCTTTCTCTGTCTTAAGTATAAATACGCTTGTAACCTTAGAGAGTCTGAGAAATCCTTTGAAACAGACAAGTGGGTGATTCCCCTTGCTGTATGGAGTTCTCTCTGTGATCACAGTATAGCCCTAAATAAAGAAAAGCTGGCTCTGTCAGTTCTGATTCAACCACAACGCGAAGTTTGATTTCTTCCACAATTTGAATAAAGCATTAAGACTTCTTTCTACTTGTATTAGTTTGGTGAAAACTCAAATGAATCATTCCTAACTCAGTCTTACCTTTTTTACTTTTTCTAACATTTTTACTGTCAAGTTGCCAGTTCCAGGACCTACTTCCAGGACGACATCCGTGGGTCTTAAAGCAGCCTAGGAACAAATAAGATAGTCTATTCCAAGTAAAACGTACTACCCTCCTCCCCTGCCCCTCCCCCACCACGGTTGCTGTCCTTTTGGTCTTAACAAATTTACGTACAGACACTAGAATAATAGCAGTAGGAAGGGCATGCTTGGGGACGAGGGTAGGATCACCTCGGACAAAGCATGTACACACACACACACACACACACACACACACACACACACTGATGACTAGTGCTGCCTTAGTTAGGGTGAGGCACATATCCCTGTTATCCCCCTGTGACCAGTCCCACTGACAGGGGGGCGGTCCCCCGCAGCTGATCACTGTGGGCAATTGCTGCAGCTGCTTCCAGAAGTGGTTGCAGCTACTTCTGGGAGCAGCTGTAGCGATCGGCTGGTGCTTGGAGGGGGCGCACCAGCACTCCCGCCTGCCCACTGCCTAAGCAGTGAGCGCGGCCAGTCAGAGGGCACACCAGCATGCTCAGAGGGTGCACGTGCACTCCCATCCACCCCCTGTGCATTGCCACTGTGCATGTGCGTCAGTCAATGCATTGCCACTGTGCGTGTGCGTGTATATATATCTCAAGAGACCTTAACACAAAGGTGAGCAATAAGCCATATGTTAGTCTGAAAAATAGACCAAGACAAAACCCAGATGAAACATGTCTCTCAGCATCTTGGAGCTCTTTAGAAAACAGGCAATGGAGAGGAATGGGATGTATGAACAGGACATGGCACAGAACCACATTTCCTTGCACCAAGTTTTAGATTGCTCCAAGAGGCTCATTAGGAAACATCCTTGCACCAAATTATTCAGAACCCAACCATGGGAACTGCTGCTCAGTCACTCTCAGTGACTGCCCGGTCGGTTGATGTTCTGAACAGTGCACTGGAAATCATCTGCGAGCCTGAAACTAACCATTATCAGAGCGTACACAGGGGAGCGTGGACCTTCCCCCAGGCATGCAGAACCAGCCATGTGGTACTGCCCAAATGTGCGGGTTTATTATATACACCAGGGCTGTGCAACAGGGAGGGGTGGGGGGGGGGCCTTCCAGGCTGCCTGCGGATGTGGGCCTCCTCCCCCAGCCCCATGGTTCGGCAGTCAGGAGTTAGTTGGCCTGCCTGGCCCTGTGTGGGGGGCAAGTTAAGGAGCTAAGATGCCAGCAATACAGGGAGAGGGCAGCTGGGTGCTGTTCAGGGCCGTGGGGAGAAGAAGGGAGTCGGGGTTGGGGGGGGGGGGGCGGGCGCCCC